CGGGGGCGCGGCCTGGAGCCCTGGCTCCGCGGGAGGCTGAAGCAGGCGGTGGCGCGTTCTGGCCCAGCCCGGGCAGCGTGGCGGGACTCCGTCCAGGGTAAAGACGAGGAAGGGCCGAGCGTGCGGCCCGCGCCCCCGGGGCTCCCGGGTCCCCCCAGCACCGCACGGAGAGCAGGAGCCGGGGCGGCACGGCGGCGCCGACCGCGGAGTGGCCCTTGGAGCCAGAAACTCAAAGTGCCCGGCTCCCTCGACGGTAACGCCCTATGGAGTCCAGGGTTCCTTCCCCAAATCACGCAACCCGGCCTCCTCGGGAGCTCGAGCGCGGCTCTCCTTCCGCGGACACCTTTCTTCAGGGCCCGACGCCAGCTCAGCTCCCCGCTGTGTTCCATGCAGCCTGCTAGGCTCTGGAGAATTAGGAAGTTTGGTTCAAGTGAACCCTGGCGCGGCCTTCCTGTAATCCCAGCACGCGAGAGGCTGAGGCAGCAGGACGCGAGTTCTAGGCCCAGGGCCAGGGCTACCTGGAGACTCCAAGGCCAGCCTTGACTGCACAGTGAGACCCTGTCTAAAGAACAAGCAAGCCGGGCGTGCGGGGCACCCCTGTAATCCCGGCACTCGGGAGGATCGTTGTGAGTTCGAGACCAGCCTGGGTTACAGAGTGGCTTCAAGACCAGCCTGAACTGCATAGTGAGACCCTGTCTCAAAAACACAAAAAGAAAGATGAGAAAAGAAAAAACAAAGCGAAGTAAAGTTCAGTCTAGGATAAAAGACGAATAAAGATGCTCCACAATCCCAATTCCAAAGTGTCACGCGTGGTTGGACGCTGTCTGCAGGTGAAGGAGAAGAAGCAGGGGAAACCGTTCCCCAAAGGGGTGCTCAGCCTCTGAGGAACAATCAGGAAAAATAGTGTCAAGGAGGGGAAGAGGCTTGGGGTCAGTGGTAACGTCAGGGGTCGTCACCAGCAGCCGGGCAAGTTCTGCAGAGTTCCAGAACTATGAACTCTGACTTTTACACAGTCTCATATCGCTAAGGACTAAGGGTTTTTGGTTAATTCAGGATAAATTAATGTTTTGTGAAGTTCGTACTGGCGTCTCCCGACTCCCACGATGAACGTTTCAGTCCCGGCCTTTCAGAGTTTCGCTTTGCCTCCACGCGGAAGCCGGTGCAGAGCGGCTTTGCTCAGGGACCCTGCTGCGCACACCACTGCCTCTCATTCTTGGCGAGTATGCGCCTCGGCTTGCCAGCTGGAATGCCATTCCTCCGCGCTGAGCTTGTCTTTGCCCCGCTCCTCCCGGTCTTCACGCAGAAAGACACTCTGGGTTCTGCCAGGGAGCGGCTGTGTGGCCTCACTGCCAGAGCTGTAATGACACTTTTCTTTCTTTAAGCTGAGGTTCCGGCGTGTCAAATCTGAAGTCCCCACCGGCGGTCAGTGTTACTGATTACAATGATCACGGCAGCTGCCCCCGGTTAAACTGTGTCAGGTGTCCCGCGGAGCGCCTCGCTGCATCCGCACGCAGGGCCCCGCGCATCTCTTGGCGGCAGGAGCGCCCCTTGAGCCAGGCAGCCGGGGGCCCCATTGCTTGATGACTGACCCCAGCCACGGGCCCTCAGTTCCTCAGTCCTGTGACTCTGGGCTGGCCGACTGGGGTCGTTCTGTTTCTTTCCATCAGCAGTGATGGTTTGGGCAATTTTGGGCAGTTAAATCTTTCTGTAGAGCTGTCCCAGGCACTGAATGTGCCGCCGACATCCTCACCATGGTGTCAGCTGGTACCTGCCACCTCCACATTTCTGAACGTTCAGATGAAGCTACGCATGGAGAATGGGGTCACAGTGCCACAGGCTCAGGACACTGCCCCGACCCTCAGTGCTGACGGGTTTGCCTCAGTTTCCATGTGGCCTCCAGTTCAGAGCCATCGGACGTCTCACTGCACCTCATGAGAGGGCTGCGTCCACAGAAACAGCCCTGGCTATCCTATCATCTGTCCTATCTTAGTGGGGCTCCAGGGCTTAGGCCCTGCTTGGTCCCTCTCCTGTGGACTTTCAATTCATTCTGTGTGCTAGCATTCTCCCAAAAACAATCCTCACTGCCACAGCATGAAATGTAGTATTAGTGAGCGATATTATTTATAATTTCTTTTTTTTTGTCTCTTTGATACAGAGTCTCACTATGCAGTTCAGGCTGGCCTTGAGCTCACTTTGTAGCCCAGGATGATCTCGAACTCACAACGATCCTCCTGCTTTAGTCCCCCGAGTGCTGGGATTACAGGCGTGCACCCCCATGCCCGGCAGTATAAATTATTAAGAGGAAGCTGGGCATGATGGCACATGCCTGTAATCCCAGCACTTGGGAGGCTGAGGCAGGAGGATTATTGTGAGTTCGAGACCAGCCTGGGCTACCAAGTGAGTTCAAGGCCAGCCTGAACTGCGTAGCAAGACCCTGTCTCAAAAAGACAAAAAAAAAAAAAAAAAAAAAGGAAACCGAGGCACAGAAAGGTAATTCTTGATCCTCTGAGATTGTTAAATACAGCTCCTCGCATCGGCACACTGACCTTGGTCAAAGGAGAAATGTAGAGGGAAAAAACTGCTGTTTAAAATCATTTCCTTCACTGTAGAATAACTCTAACATTCTGACTCCCCTGGACTATCACCTGCCTCCTTACCTGGCCATTTTTTAGGAAAATGCTACCCTCTGTCCCTTTTGGCATGGAACCAAGCCTGACCTGTCTCTCCTCGGAATTTTCCAAATTAGAGGTGAGGTATGGCACTTTCATCTCAAATGCCAAATCGTACACTGACCTCCGCCCTCCTGATGGCTATCTGCCGACAGAGCAGGAGCTGAGCGCGGAGCCGCGGGGAGCGCACAGGAGGCGGAGGTCTGGACAGGGCGGGCGCGTGTCCGTGTCCTTTCACCCACAGGGGGCCCCAGGACCTTTTATGCTTTCTACCTTGGAACTGGGTGTCTCCGCCTCTCCCGCCTCCTCACCAAGTCTGACCCCAGCCCTCACTCCAGAAGAAGCCGCTTTCTTTTATGCTCCCACAAGGCGCGTTTCAGGTACTTGTCTGACACCCCTCACAATCAGTGCTTTGTGATGTCTGCCTGGGCCCAGCGTGCGGGACAGAGGGGGCCGCAGGCAGCCCGGTGGACACACCCAGGCCTGCGTGGCCGAGCAGGGGGTCGAGGGCCGTGCAGAGATCACTCCTCTGGGCCGTGCAAAGCAGAACTTGGGGCTTCTCCCGCAGGGTTTCTCAAGTCGTAAGCGGCTTGTGCCTCTTATGTGGAATTTCTCCGCGTGCTGTACAACCTGCGTTCAGTTCTAAGGCCCAGCTTCATCCTCCGTCCTGAGAGAGGACGGCACCCCACGGCCTGAGTTCCAGCAGGCCAGGCCGACCTTGTGACACCGAGGTCCCCGGCTGATGTCGGGGGGGAAGCTCTTTGGAAAATAGTGTGAAGTTTAAAAATAGTCTACTTTAATTATAAGACTTGAGTGCTGGGAATGTAGCTCAGGGGTAGAGCACCCACCTGGCATGGGTGTGGACTTGGGTTCAATCCTCAGTACCACGGAAGTAAAAAATGAGAGGAATAGTTATAAGACACATGAATTATTTTAGTGATAGGAACTATGACTAACATATGTGTACACAATATCAAAACAACAACTGTCAACCCCTAAAAAGGGTAAAAAATGAAAAACAAACAAGCTCTCAGATTGCTAGCTGTAGATTATTCCGAGGTTCTTAGAGTATTGTGCTGTTTATGCTCTGTGCTGTAAGTCAAGAAATAGATTGATAAGAATGTGTCTAAAGGCTGTGGGGAGAAAGGAGCCCTTCTCCACTGTTCCTGGGAGTGCAGACTGGTGCAGCCACTGTGGAAATCAGTGTGGAGAGTCCTCAAAAAACTAGGATTCGAGCTCCCATTCCACCAGCCATTCCCCCTCTGGGTATTTTTCCAAAGAATTGAAAACATCATTTCACAGTGACATATGTGCACCCGTGCTTATAGCAGCACAATTTTTCATGTAAATCTTGGAAACAACCCAAATGCCCATCAATTGAGGAATGGATAGAAAAGATGTGGTATTTTTATACAATGGAGTATTACTCGGCTATAAAGAAAGAAGAACTCAAGTCTTTTATAGGTAAATGGATGCAACTAGAGACCGTACTCGTAAGTGAAACAAATCAGACCAGCATGTGTAAACATCGTATTATCTCCCTAGTGTAAGTAGCTGAAAGAGTAAATAAGATCCAAAATGTACACTAGATATCGTGAAAGGGAAAAAACCTGCTCAAAAGGGAAGAACAATTGAGATGAGGGAAAGGAGACAAGAAAGAAGGGAAAAATTATATATATATACACACACAGGATAGCTAAGATAATTGCACTGCAGATGTCTATTGGTTTATTGAAAGGAACAGTTAGTGCTTAATTTTTTTGACCAGTTGTGCATACCTATATCTGAACAACTATATCTGTTAATCTTCAACTACTTCACTCGTTTTTTTGTGTGTTTTTTCTTTTCTTTTTTCCAGTACCGGGGATCGAACTCACGACCTTGCACTTGCCTGTTTGTTGGACAGGCGCTGTGCCGCTGAACTAAATCCCCAGCCCCTCTTCAACTACTTTGAAGACAACAATATGCAATATAACAACCACTGTTGATTTCCTATCACCTTGTTTTGAAATTCTGTATTGTTTTTAATGGTTTCTTTTTTTTTTGGTCTTTTTGAGACAGGGTCTTGCTATATAGTTCAGGCTGGCCTTCGGCTCACTTTGTAGCCCAGGCTGGCCTCGAACTTGCAATGATCCTCCTGCCTCAGCTTCCCGAGTACTGGGATTACAGGTGTGCACCACCATGCCCAGCTCTTAATTCTCTTTAAAAAAAAAAAAAAAAAAAAAAAAAAGTGGCTAAAATCAAAATGGAGAGAATAATTTTACTTCTAAAGTAATTTTGCAATTAAATCAACATTAACTTTCTGGATTTAAGAACAATGATCGAGCCAGTCCTTTATGTGCATGCCTGTGATCTTTCCTTCTCCAGAGGCTGAGGCAGGAAGATCACAAAGTCAAGGCCAGTCTGGGCAATGGAGCAAGATGCTATCTCAAAAGAAAAAGTAAAAAGAGCTGGGGATGTGACTCAGTGGTAGAGCATTTGCCTAGCATGCACAAAGTCCTGAGTCCAATTCCCAGTACAGTGAAAAAAAACCAAAAAAACCATGATGACCCTAAACAAGATTATGGTCCTACCATTTCTGTGAGGACGTGAGGTACCCACCCCTGGTAATTTTGAATACAAATATTGTTTATGTTCAAGGATAATGGGTTTGTTTTTGTCTTAGGTAACAGGTTAGAAGAGGAGTATAAACACCAAAACATAACCAACACTGAGGACAGATTGCAGGGGGACAGAATCTGAACAAAGAGGTCTCTGCAGTCAGGACAGTTTTCTGATTTTTAACCCATAGCACATAAATATTGGAAACACGAGAAACAAGACAAAATGCTCCAAAACTCCCAACTCACCAGGTGTGGTGGTGCACACCTGCAGGTCCGGCATCTGGGGAGGATTGCCGGGAGTTTCAGGCCAACCTGGGCTACATAGTGAGTTCAAGTCCAGCCTGAATTACACAGCAAGATCCTGTCTCAAAAGAGAAAAAAAAAGAAAAAAGAAAAAAACTAACTCCTCAGAGCTGATCCCACAGACTGAAGTAGAGGAATCTACAGGCAAAGAACTCAAAAACATAGCAGTCACAATGTTTGAAGAGAGCCAGGTATGGCTCACACTTGTAATCCCAGCACTTGGGAGGCTGAGTCAGGAGGATTGTTCCAAGTCTGAGGCCAGCCTGGGGTACAAAGTGAGCTCAAGGCCAGCCTGAACTGCGTAGAAAAACTCTTGTCTCAAAAAGACAAAAAAAAAAAAAAAAAAAAAAAAAAATTGAAGAGATAAAAGAAGATATTTAAGGAGTTCAAAAAGGGTTTAATTAAAAAGATAAAGGATTTTACCAATAAAATTGTCAACAATCTTAAAGAAAAAACTAATTGAGTTAAAAGACAGTACAAAATATAAATGACCACTTCAGTAAAGAATTAGAAAGTATGATGAGAAAACAAGCAGAGATACACGAAAAAGTTCAAAGAAAACGTAAGTGTCAAACTTGACCAGTATTTGAGGTCAGAGTGTCAGAAATAGAAGACAAGGTGGATATAGATCACCAACTCAGTGATATCCGAAAACTGACAAGATACCATGAGAGCTGTATTTAACAGCTGCTAGCCAGTTCAAAAAAACCAACCTCAGAATTATAGGAGTGAAGGAAAAGTTAGAAGATGACTCAAAAGGTATAAAAAATTTATTCACTGAAATTGTAACAGAAAATTTCCCAAATCTAGGGAAAGAATTCAATATCCCAGTATAAGAGGCATATAGAACACCATATAGCCATGATCAGAAAAGAACCTCTCTCTCTCTCTCTCTCTTTTTTTCCAGTACCGGGAATCAAACGCACGACCTTGTGCTTGCCAGCAGGCGCTGTTTCGCTGAGCTAAATCCCCAGCCCCAGAAAAGAACCTCTCTATAATACAACATAATAAAAATTCTAGGAATTCAACAAGAGGAGAGAACACTAAAAGCTTTCAGAGGAAAACAGTGTGGAATCTGTACAGACAAGTCTCTCTGAGTAACTGTGGATTTCTCAGTGCAAACCTTAAAGGCCAGGACAGCTTGGAGCTAAGTTTCTCAAGTTCTAGAAGAAAATTATCAAGCTAGCTGTTTGTATCCTGCAAAATTAATCATCAAAGTTAATCAAGAGCCAGGCGTGGTGGCGCATGCCTGTAATCCCAGCACTCGGGAGGCTGAGACAGGAGGATCCTTGCAAGTTCAAGACCAGCCTGAGCTACAAAGTGAGCTCAAGGCCAGGCTGATCTGCACAGGGAGACTCTGTCTCAAAAAAAAAAAAAAAAAAAAAAAAAAAGACAAAGTGAATCAAGAACTGAAGACTTTCCACTACAAAGAAATCCCAAAGAAGCACCTGCCCACTGAGCCAGCACTGTGGAAAATACTTCAGGTGTTTGAAATCCCGTGTCATTTTTAATGTTCTTGTTTTGTTTTGTTTGTATTTTGCTATTGTTCTTTTCTTCTTTTTTTTTGCTATTCTCTTTAAAATAAAAAAAAAAAGAAAATACTGCAGGAATTCTAGACAGAGACAGGAAGCCTACCAACACCAAAGAGCCCGAAGGAAATGATACATCGATCTGGAGAGCAGTTAAACAAAAGGAAAAAAAGTAAACAAAGGAGTCGGCACTGGAAAAGTAATACAATGACAAGATTCAATAAACACCTTATTAATATAGCTCAGCATCAGTGGTTTCAAGGTCCCAGTCAAGAGACACAGACTGGCAAGTTGGATCAAAAAACAAAATGCAACCATATACTACTGCCTATGGGAGACACACCTCATCAAAAGGAAATACATAGACTAAAAGTCAAAGGATGGAAAGCAATGCTCCATTCAACTAGAGCCTGAAAACAAGCAAAAATAGTTACCTTGTTTTTAGACACACTAGATTTCAATCCAAAACTGATCAAAAAAGCAAAGACGGTCCCTACATACTGGTAAAGGGAACAATTCAACAGGAGGGATAACAATTAAAATACCTACCCAGTGAATGTTGGTGTATCCTAATGGATAAAGCAAAAACTGGTAGGCATGGAAGACAGATCCAGTACACTCATATTGAGGGACGTCATTACCACATTCTCACAATTAGACAGCTCAACCAAACAGAAAATCGACAAAGAAACATTAGAGTCCAATTGCACCACTGAACAAATGGACTTAATAGGTATAGAGTGTTCCATCAGCAACACAGAATACACATTTTTTTCAGCAGCACTCAGAACTTTTTCTAAAATAGGCCATATCTGAGGCCATAAAGCATGCTTTAAAAAATACAAAAGAATTGAAATAATCCCATGCATGCTATCAGATC